AATCTATATTAACAAGATGAGATTTATTCCCCACTTTTTCACTCATAAAATCATATTCAGAAACTTTTATATATTCTTGTTGGGTTTTTGTTGTTTTTGTCATTGTCACTCTGTCTCTGGTACGGGACTACTGTAGTCATCAAAATAAACAACCATGTACAATTCATTTTCCCATATTGTGTTTTTATTCCAATGGGGAACATGTTGGAAAAGGCACTGCTGCACCAACACACACATACACACACACAATTTTCTTTTAAAAATTTCTTATATGGTCCTAATCCCTCTAGACTTTATTTTCAAACATGATAAGAACTGGGTCCTTCGTGTGTGTGTGTGTGTGTGTGTGTGTGTGGTGTTGTGCTTGTGGTACTCAGGGCTTCACACCTGCTCCACAAGCAGTCTACCTTTGAACTACACCCTCAGCCCCTGAACACATATATTTTTGTTTTTGGAAAAAAGTAAAGAGAAGTACATTAAACTACTTCCTATTAATGCCAGGCATTGCATGAGAATACCCATTTTTACTCATTTTCAACAACAAAAGATATTATTACTCTTTGAAGTCTTGCCCATTTATAGATGTAAAGTGGCATCTCATTGCCATTGTGTACTCTGACAACTACAAAAATTTCATACCTTCTGGTCTACTTATTAATCATTCAGGTATATTTATTCTAATAACTATTTGCTTTTACACTTGTTTTTCCCACTTTTTATCTGGGGTTTTGTTCTTTTGTCAATTTTTAAGGTATCTTTCTCTACATAATTAAAGATAATAACTATTCTTTCATTTGCAGTAGTATTTTGTTTTTATAAGTCTGTTGTCATCTGATTTGGCAACATAAGATATTTTTAATACAGACCCATCTTTTCTGTCCTGGGTTTTAAGTGTGCTATCATGAATTAGGTCTTGTCCACCCTTATATGTAGTTCTTGAGGTTTTTCTTTAAAAATTTTCTTACATGTACCTAATCCCCTAGAATTTATTTTTAAGCATGATGAGAGCTGGTGCCCATCTCTATTTTCTTCCATGTGGATAGTAGGTTTTCCTAGACCATTTATTACATATTCTTTTCTCATTGAATTAAATCCTGCTTTTCTTATATAATTCTCACATTCTCAGAGATCTAATTCTTAATAGTCTGTTCTGTTCCTCCAGCCTTTTCCCCACATCATTGTCATATTAATTTGACCGCAATGATTTTGTAGCTTCTCATATCTGAAGCAAATCCTTATTCATCTTTTCATACTATTTTTGGCTATTCCTGGATATTTATTCTTTTATGTAAACTTTGTGATCATTTTATTCTAAAAAAAATAAAGCAATACAACTTGGAAGTTTACTAAATGTGTACGTTAATTTGGGGAGACTTCTTAGAATTTTTAAAAATATTTTATTAGTGCATTATACTTATATATAATAGTTGGGTTCATTTTAACATATTCATAAATGCATCTATCATAAATTTGCTCTATTTCAATCTCAACTACTTCCTCTTCTCCCTTCTTAGATTTTATTGGTCTTCCTTCCATTTATTTATTGTTTTTTATTATACACAAAAGTGGAATCATTGTGACATTGTGATACATGCATATAACCAAGTTCGATCAATTTCATTCCACAGTTCCTTCCCTTTCCCATTCCTCCTCCCTCTGCTTTTATCCCTTCCCTTTACCCTACTATTTCCCCTTCTGTTTTCATGATATTCCCTTTTTAAAATTCCTATTTCTCTCTAGCTTCCATATATGAGAGAAAATGATTCTTGACTTTCTGACTCTGGCTTATTTTACTTAGTATGTTCTTCAGTTCTACCCATTTACCAGCAAATGCCATCATTTCATCCTTCTTCATGGCTGAGTAAAACTCTATTGTGTATATATAATCCATTTTATATATCCATTCCTCTGTTGACAGGCCCCAGTTCTGGTTCCATAACTTGGCTATTCTGGATTGCAATATCATAAAAATTAGTAGGCATGTATCAGTGGAGTATTCTGATTTTAGTTCTTTTGGATAAACACCAAAGAGTGGGATAGCTGGGTCATATGGTGGTTCCAATCTTAGTCTTTTGAGGAATCTCCATACTACTTTCCAAAGTGGTTGTACCAATTTGCAGTCCCACTAACAATATGTAAGTATACTTTTCCCCCACATCCTCAACAGCATTTATTATTATTTGTATTGATGATTGCCATTCTTTTTATTTTATTGTTTTTATTGATAGTGGTGGTGCACACTTGTAATCCCAGCAGTTCCAGAGACTAAAGCAGGAGGATCCCAAGTTCAAAGCCAGCCTCAGCAATTTAGGGAGGCCCTAAGCAACTCAGCTAGATGCTGTCTCTAGATAAAATACAAAAAGGGCTGGGGATGTGGTTCAATTTAACCCCTGGGTTAAATCTCCAGTACCAAAAAGAAAAAGTCTCCACACAAGAGCAACTTACGTGTTTTCTTCAATCCACCACTATAATAGAAAACCACAAACTGGGTAAATTATAAAATAGCTTATGTGGTTCATGTTTCAGGAAGCTGGAATGTGGTGAAGGCCTTCCTGCTGAGGTATACCATGGAGGAAGGGCAACGAACATGCTTGAGACAGAAAGCAACAGGGAGAGCAAGAGAGATAGCAAAAGGGTAAGGGCCAAACTTTATCAGGAAAAAAGTAGGCTTTATCAGAAGCCTATTCTGGTGATAACCCATTGCTCCTACAGCAACACTAATCCATACATGAGGGCAGAGCCCCACTGCCCTATCATCCCTTAAAGTTTCCACCTCTTATCACCATCACATGGCACTTGAACTTCAACTTAGTTTTGGAGGGGACACTCAAACCATAGGACATATTGTAAAGATAATATTTTCTCTCCATTTCATCCTTAATTTCTGAGGTAGTGAAAACTCTGATTATGAGTATCTTGAATCTCAGCACATTACCAAATTGTTAATACTAGTGTTTTTATAATTAGGGTATACAGGTTTTCTAGAAATGTTCATTATCAACAAAAACAGTCTTATTTCTTTTCCTCCAGCTTTTTTTTTTTTTTTTTTTAATTTGACTTGCTGCATTTTCTAGAACCTTGAAAATGAAATAATACCAGTGTCCTGATTTTGGATGTTGTTCTATTTCACAATTTAAAGATATTTCTTCCTGAGCATGAGAAGAAGACTACCACTAAATAGGGAAGAGAGGTGGGAGGGAAAAAGAAGGAGAAGGGGAGTTGCACAGAAGATGGAAGGAGAACCTCATTATTATACAGAATACATATATGATGTTGTAATGAGAAAAAAAAAGTGTCACATTAGATTGGATAGAGAGAAAGGATGGGAGAGGAGGGGAGGAGTAAGGAGGATAGGAAGGGCAGCAGAATAGAATTGACAATATGATTGATGTATGTACATTCCATGTATGTATTATATGTCAAAATTCATTCTGCTGTCATGTATGACTAAAAAAAATATGCCATACTTTGCATAGCAAAAAATAAAAAATAAAAAAATAAGGATATTTCTTCCTATTTTACTTATATTGGGGATTTTTTTTCTCATCTGTTGATATCTTTTTCTTGTTGGCTTAATAAAATGTTGATACCAAACCACTTGCTTCCCTGGAATACTTTACTTGGTCAGGTTTTATTAATATTTTGCTACATTTTTAAGATTTTGTTCACAATATTTTATGTAGAAATTTTCACTTGTTCAATCAATGAGACTATTGTACCATTTTTGTATAACATTTGATGTCAGGTTTTAATACTATGTTTACACTGAATTCATAAAATGAATTAAGAATTGTAGAGCTTCCATCCCCCACCTAATCCTAATCCCAAAATATAGTGTAGAATTTTGCTAATTCAAAGTATAATTCTTGAACCAGTAGCATAAGCAACTGGTTAGAAATGCAAATTTCAAGGCCCAAACCAGACCTACAGAATTAAGATATACACCATTAACAAGATCTCCAGTTGAGTTATATGCACATTGAAACTGGAGACGATCTGAAAAGCTTAAAGTTTAAACAACACTGGAATTATTATTTTAACATGTCATTTAGACCTCAAGATATTAATCACAGACATTTTTTATAATTAACCTATGCTAACTGGTATATTCAAAGTTTCTACTTCTTGGGCTGATTTTGACATTTTTATTTTGCCAAAAAGTCATCTGTATCCCCCGATCTACAACTTCATTGCGATAGTATTGTGCTCTTATTAGGATTTTAATCTAATTAGTCCCTTCCATCATGTGAGGACGAATGGTTCTTTCCTCATTTTTACATCATTCTTATCAAGCTTACAAAAGTTTAATCTATTTTCTGACTTTTCAAAGAACCAGCTTTTGGAGTCAACTTGAACTAATCCTTCAAAACTAAGTGGAAGGGGATGAGTTCAGCTTTGCTCTCCATTAACATCAACCATGTACACATGCAAATCTGAACTTCCAGGGACCAAAAAGCATTACAAGAATGCAGGATTCAAACCAATCAATGATTCATGAATGTTTGAACAGAGACCTACCTACACCTAAATTGTCTTTCTGCATACCTAATCACATTCTAAACACCATTTATTGCCTCACTGGCAAATCTTTGCTAAATAATGCTGCAGTATTTGTAAATTGCTTTCCAGTTTATATGCCTTTAATACCCACTATCTCACAGGAAACTACATTTCAAAAGATCTAAAAGAAAATCCTTTACTAAAAGGAATAGTCCCTAATTTTCATGTACTGAAAATCATCTGGGGTCTTCAGAACACCCTGTCTCCCCAGATAGCCAAATGGAAGGCACAGGAGAGTCGAGGGGAGAGCTACCAAAGCCCCTCTTCCAAAGGGAGGCCCGAGTTGAAATTTTACCTATGTACAGATATAGAAAATGGCAATTTCGGGCTGGGGATGTGACTCAAGCGGTAGATTTCACAAATATCTTGTACACCAGTCTGTAATTTTTAATTAGAATTAGCTATCAAAGACATTGCACCTTTCAAGTCTGTGACCGAGCTTAACAATGTTTAACAGTAGCTTTATTAAGTGAATGCTTGTAAGTACTCAACATTAGATTCAATTTACTTCACATTTGCAAGTACATTATTAACAATCCTTAAATATTTCAAATCAACCAACTTAGAAGTACAGGAGGCTTGCCCTCAACTCTTCTGAGGTGACATGAAAAATGAAAGCAGCCTAGAACTTTAGTTCAAAGTCTCTAACCAACAATCACTAGATCATCACTGGTGAACTCATATGAGGGAACTTCAAGGTTGAGAGGCGCAGGCCCCTTCCTGATCCTGCCTGATGCATCATAGTGTGACCCATGGCAAGGGCAGTAATAACCACCAAAATCTCCTGCATTTGCAATGGGTACACAACCAAGATGAGTACAAACACCTATCAGGATAACCCATTCAGGTTTCTTTACTCGATCCAAATCATGCTGTGGGTCCCGCAACTGGGACATTTCAACAGCAGCTTCCTGGTCAATCTCCTTCTGGGTTCTGTGGCGCACAAACAGGGGTTTGCCTCTCCATTTGAAAGCCATGTTCTTGCCTTCTGGAATATCAGACAACTTGATTTCAATTTTCGACATGGCCAATACATCAGCAGAAGCACTCATGCTGGAAACAAACTGGGAGACAACATTCTTGGCAGCATATGCAACACCCACAGTAGCTGTTGCAGTCACCAAATAGGAGAAACCTTTTCTAGCCTCGCTGCTCTCTTTTGAAGACTTTGTGCTATCTAACACTTCAGAGCGACGATAGTCAGAGAAATCAGGCACTTTGACATCCGTGTGGGAATAACGAACAGAAGCAGGTACTACAAGGCAAACAGAAAGTTAAAAACAATTAGATAAGTAACTAATTACTGAAAGGGGTATACATCAGGAAACAGACCTTAGACTCATAGGCAAAAATTTAAATTCTCAAAACTTACCAGTTGAGACTGGTGAGTAGTTGAAATGGCAGTACTAGCATATAAAATATCAGAAATGAAATGAAGTTGACTACAAGCTATTATATTGGTATGAACCACAAGATAATATTTGTAAATTGAATTTCTCCTTGAAGGTTGTTGGAACATGGCTCATTCAGGATTAATATACCATAGCATTAAGTTTAGAAAGTTAAATAGCACAATTAACAGCTATACTTCAAAGTTTCCAAAAATCCAATTGCTAAGACATTTGGTACAACCAAACTAAATACTTCTCATATTCTCTGGATTAGAAAAGACCCCAAAACTTATCTAACCTACCTGGTTAAACTGATCTGCTCATCTCATTAAGGCAAAAGTCTAGTCTTCAAAAGTAAGTACAAAACAATATATATTCTGTGTTCTGCTGGTATCCCTTCAGTTACAGAAAATTTATGAATTTCTATTTTAGACTTGAGGGTATAAACTAATATTATCTTCAAGTAAAGCTTCTAATGTGCAGAAAAGAACATCCTTATCATAACAGGCAGCTCTTAAAATAAAACCTGCAAAAATAACTATTTCCATTTAGCAACAGAAGAGAAAATTTTTCCTATATTTCCCTCTTCAATGAAGTTTTATATCTTCTGTAAAAGGGCATTACCCTTTTTTACTGCCGTGGGCCCCTTTAGTGAGATGCTTCTACTGTAGGCTACCGTGTGTGTCAAATGAATGTAAATAAACAAATAATTACTGCCTTCATAGTATTTTGGGAACAAGTAATTTGTATAATAAAAAAGATTTTTAAAGTCATGTCCTCTCTCACATACCATTTGTAAACATCTGACAAAAAAATGGATTTACTGGTATCACTTTTAAATGTTTCAGGAAAGCAAATCTCTTTGTAAATCATATCAGTTTTAGGAAACCTGCCATTAGGTTTCCTTTTTAGAAAAAGAGGCACTAAAAATTGTTAACTTTTAGAAAACGTGTTATTTCAAAGCTGTACTTATAAAAACATTTCATTAAAATAAACTGCAATTTCATTCATAGGCTTTCATCCTATTTCTTTGAGCAGTCAAACATTACAATACAAAATATTTCAACTGTTTTTCATGTGATTGTCAAGATCAATAACTTTATAGAAGACACAAATATTCATAAATAATGAAACCTATCAAAATCACTCTATATACTTTTCTGACTAGCCCATTTTTTTTGTGGGGATCAGGACATAGATGGTGACTACCTGAGATTCATATTTATGACTTCGTAGCATCAAAGTGACTTACAATGTACTATTTTACCTACTGCTAACCTGACAGTACAGACTGGCAATTTGGAATCAAGCATGAATTGTTTTTCCCTGGCAAAACCTGGGACAGTAAAGAATGTTTCATATCTAAGATAAAGAAACCAAGGTCATACCTCTATGTTAAAAACAGTATCCACAACTGTTAACTCTTTTAAATAAGAGTATACAAGGTAATGTCTAAGAACACTACACAGAATGACTGTCATTCTCATTCTCAAAGACTTGATGGCAAAAGAAATTCAGTTGTCTACCTCTCTCTACCTAGCAAGTACTTTATTGGGTTACATGGTCAAGAACTCTTTAGGAAATTAAACTGCCAGGTTGCCAAAATCATTCTCTCAATAATTTACAAGGGTTGTACAATGTCTGACTTTGAGAAGCAAAGATGTTGCAATTAGTTCTAACCTAAAACAAGATCAGATATTTATGGAAATATCACCTAGAAACAGAAAAAAATCGAAGGCATTTTAATAAATATTTTTTAAGTTTTAGTTTTAAAGTGACCTCTGATATGCAAGAGATGCTACCCTGGAGTAAACTTCCTCCCCAATTCAAAGATCTGCTCCTGATCAATTCCTCCCATACTGTCACTGTCTTTCTAGAAACTATCTAAATAGGACACTTTAAGGTGAACTTAAGCTACAAGCTGAAGGCATGATGATAGAAGAGATTTTTTTTTTCTTATGGTTCTACATTTTTGTGCCTAGTTTAAAAAAAAAATTCTAGAAGAAACTCTTTAGCCATTTGACAAAGATGCTTTTCACCTTTGCTATTGAAGTTTTCTCTTCTTGTTTATCACCTCCAACAACTTGAGATTCATACCTATGACTTCGTGGAACCAAAGTGACTTACAGTTATGTAGTATTTTACCTATTGCTAACCTGACAGTACAGACTAGCAATTTGGAATCAAGCATGAATTACTTTCCCCTGGCAAAGCCAAGGACAGTAAAGAATGTTTCATACCTAAAAGATAAAGGAACCAAGTTCATATCTCTACATTAAAAACAGGTACACGAGGTAATGTATAAGAACAAAAATAAACTTGGAATGGGCCAGGGTACTTCATTCCTACCCTGGACAGTTTCTCCAAAACCACTAGTGCTCCTCAACATTCACTCACAAATACTTTGCGTCAACTTTACAAAATCTCAGACTGTAGGAAAGAAAAATGTAGACACTCTATTCCTTTAAGTTCAAGGTCAGAGGAATAACCAATGAATACAATACAGAATGGGAAATGTTATATGCTATAAAGACATAAAGGAATGAGCAAATATAAAATTTTATTGACCTGATCCAAAATTGTGATTGAAAGGATGGGTAAGACCTGCACATAAGGAAAAGTGAGTGGAAGGATCATTAGAAATATAGAGAAGCAGTGCTACTTGGGAGGCTTAAGATGGGGAATCACTTGAACCAAAAAGTTAGCTGGGCCTGGGCAAACATAGTGAGACCTCCTCTCAAGAAAGAAAATTAAAAAGTAAAAAGAATAGAGTGAATAATGCAGACTAAGTTTCCCCTTGGGGCAACTTGATTATCGTGTAGCACAAAGACCACTAACTCAACTGTCAATGGGACCAAGCAAGTAACACAATAGAACAAGCAAGCCTAGTGAGAACTGGAGTGGACAATTATGGGAGCAGCCAATACACAGCACACTAGACTTTACCTGTGTAGAAACTATAGAATCCAGTGTTGCCACCCTATAGTACTTCAAGAAATATCAAGAGTTTTCCCAGTTTTTTAATACTAAGCAATCAGCTTGCAGTCGTACTGTACTGCCTAAATGGTGCCATTTCACAATCTCCAATACAGGGCATTAGTTAAATGAAAGACAGGGAACAGAAGACTAAACTGAGATCTGTTGACAGAGGATACCAAAAACAATCCTGGAAAGAGCTTATGGCTAACACAATCAGTCTTGTCAAATCCATGCTCTATCTCATGCACAATGTCCATCCTCGTGCAGGTCATTTTACTTCCTGTAGTCTGTTTTCTCATCTGTAAAAAGGGAATACCATCAACCTCAAACTTTTCTTCTTGAGGATTAAATTATGTTGTGAAAACCTTTAGACAAGTGCCTGAAAAAGATTGCTGGTACTCATACTGAAACTGATCTTGGAGCTGTGTTGTTATTTAAATTGAGGTGGGTTTTTTTTGGAGGGGGGGATTAATAAGGGGTGTTGCTGATGAGGAAAGACACTGAAGGAATAAAGTTCTTAATTTTTTTTAACATTTATTTAATGTCCAATAGCTTTCTACAGATTATGTATGCCTCACGACATCCCTAATGAAACTGGTAGAAGCATGAATCCATTTCATAGGAGAAGAAAACATTTAGAAATTTGCCCAAGGTCAAACTACCTGTAAGCAACAATATCCTCTGTCAGACTTTGTTGGAAGTAGGAGGACGCCGGAGTTGGGAACTTAACCAACAAGTTAAAGATTAGTCTGCCCAAGAGGGCCCAGATCCGAGTCAAGGGAAAGACTCCCACATAGGGCTGCAGCATCACTTAAGACCGCCCACCTTAGCGGCGTGCCCACGCGAGGACAATGGAGGCCCGGAGAGGTGCAGCGTCCTGTCCTGCCCAAGGTCGCCCCTACCCGGAAACCCGATCCTCCCGAATGGGACTCCGCTCTACATTTCTACACGCCCCCGCCCTCCTCGGCTGCTCCCCGGGACTAGGGCCGGAGGGAGCGAGAAAGGAGAGACCCTTCAACCCGGCTCACCATTGAGGCCCACGCAGGCGACCAAAGGCCGGCCCACGGCCTGGCCACTCAGCGACTCCCGGCACAGGAAGGGTCGCTTCACGTCCAGCACAGGCGGCTCCGGGGTGGCGGGCACTGCGGCCTGCACCAGAGGCCGCAGCGCACCCGCCACCCCGCGGGACGTGGCCGACAGGACCGGTGCAAACGGGCCTGAGCGGGCGGCGACCGACAACATGGCGACAAATGATAGAACCGCCGAGCCGGTCACAGGGACGACCTTCCGCCCGCGACGCAGGCGCAAGAGGCGACGGATCTGTGACGTCAGCACGCCGGGCGAAGCGGAGTCCTGAGGGGCGGGACGAACCTGGAAGCGCTGCGTCGAGAGCGGGCCACAAGCCCACGCTGAGGGTGGAGCGGCCAGGAGGCGGGGCTTAACTCCAGCTGTCAATCAGTACGTTTGCCTGGTGGTCTGCGTTCCCGTCGCTGCTTAAAATAAGAAGACAAAATAAAACTAAGGTCCGGAGAAACGTCCTGTGGGCGTGTTTGTGATCAGTTAGGGCAAAAATTTCATCTGGGGCGACCTGGGCATAAGAACAAATTACTATAGTATAAATGAGGATAATTCTTCCCAAAAAGGAAAAAAAAAAAAACTATATATATATAAAATATCACCTAGAATATATTGTAACCTCTATGTATTTTCTGTAATGATTTTTTTTTTTATCGTCTTAACCAAACAACAAAAGGCTAGGGACCTCTGTGCAAAGATTAAAAATAATGACCTAGCCAGGAACTGTGGCGCATGCCAGTGGCTGGAGAAGCTGAGGCAGTTGGGTCACTAGTTCAAAACCAGCCTCAGCAACTTAGCTAGAACCTAACTCAGCAAGACCTAAATAAATAAATATAAAAGTACAAATTAAAAACCTAAATATAAAAATGTAAAAAGGCTGGGGAGTTGGCTCAGTGGTTAAGCCCCCTGTGTTTTATCCCTGTTACATACACATACACACACACACACACACATTTATTAAGCATCTACTGTATATTGGATTTTGTTTTCCAGCATTCTTTCATTTGTAATCAGGCTCCTGCAAAGTAGCTGCTATTGTTACCAACGTTTTACTAATGAGGGAACATTTTACTGATGAGGTAAGTCTCAGAGACATCCTTTGTTCACAACTGAATTGCCGGGAAACAGTGAAGCAAGTTTGTCTCCTGAGTCTGTGGTCTTAATCAACACCACTACCCAAGTGAAATTTTAGGGGATGCAGGAGTGCAGGGATAGATCCCATAATCATTTCCTGTCACATGTTGAGAGAGTTACCCCCTTTTTACTTCTCTTTCAGTCCTGTTTACACCAATAAGAAAGTCTGAGTTTGGTGCTAATATAATTTTAATTCCTCTCTATATTTGTTAATCCCCTCTTTTAACACAATAAGCCTTGAATTTGAAGTTTTCAGCAGACAACTGAATCTAGAGAAAATTTAATAATATCACTTATTTTCATGGTATTTACTTTTTAATTCATACTGGTTTTCTGCCTATTATACTACAGTGAGATAAGACTTCATTCATTCTGTAAAATAATGAATTAATTTAAATATTAAGTATATCCTAATATGAGCAATGCATGGCTTTGGCAAAATTGTGAATCAAATCACTGAGGTTTCTCAACCCTGCTCAGTGCTGTGCATGGACTGCATGACCTGGGCAAATTTTCTAACCTCTCTGCTTCAGTTTCCTCATCTATAAAATAGAGGTAATATTGATGGTGTCTACCTGATAAAGTTACTAGGAGGAGAAAAGCTACTAATATGTGCAAACTACCTACAAAGAGGCCTGGCACAGAGTAAGCAGCAGGGAGGATTTGCTGGTGGTGTTTTTATTTGAAACTGCCACTTCCTCTGGAACAATACCTCATTCCTTTGATCCCTGCTGCCTTTCTGTTCCTTTCTCAAGGTTCACAGCACACTGACCACTTTCTCCTTTGCCCAGCTGTCTTGATAGCGACAGGGGCTGTGTTGTACTCTCAAGACTGGAAGCTGCCTGCCTCTTCACGACTGAGCTTGCCATAAAGCAGGTATGGAGCTTACCCCCAGCAACAACTGGGAAGGATCAAAAACAGACACTTCCAGAGCAACTACAAAGGCAGTCCATGATTTGAGTACTTTCCATGAAATTACTCGTTTAATTCACAACAGTCCTCTGAGTGTAGTAAGAGTAGAAGAAGAATGAATGAATAAATCTTCTGGAGACCCTCACAACTTCCCAATGGAGTAAGCAGAGTTCAAATTGTTATCTCCAGACTCTCTGGGTCCAATCCCAGTTCTGTCACTCACCAGCTACTTCCTAGGGCAAGTTATATAACCTCTGTATGTGCCTCAGTCTTTATCCCGCAAAATGAGGACAATACTATCTACCTCAGAGTTATTTTAAGGATTTAGTGGATTAATAATTATAAAATGCCCAGAACTGTGTCTTGTACGCAGTGAGTGTTATGTAAGTGTTGATAAGAATAATAATTCTGTTTTCTATATGAATAGAAGAAATTCGGAGAAGAACAACGACTTACCCAAAGACACATCATTGATAAGTAAAAGAACACTTTTGTTCTGAGGCTGTTCCAGTTTTGCAGCAGAGAGAAGGGTAGTTATATGGCTAATCAAATGTTGTCTTGCAAAAGAAGGAGGCTAGCATCTAAGAGTGGCAGGCAGGCATATTGGAACTTGGAACTTTGATGTCTGACCTGACTTCCTCTTGGTAGTTGTTGGTTTTTAACTGAACTGCCTATTAACATTCATGCACCAGTTTACTCTTTCCTTGAATACAAATTTTTGAAGGCTCCAGATGCAAACAACCTGGTCTGCATAGCTGTGACCCACACTAACTGTATAACTTTGGACACTGCTGAGCTTCAGATCCCTCATCTGCAAAACAGGGATAAAATGAAATTGCTCTGAAAATTCAAAGAAGTAACGCATGTGAAATGCCTAGTGTTTGGTATAAAACAAGAGCTTAATAAAATATTTGTTGTTATTTTTATAAACTAGGAGGAAAAAAATAGCCAAAGGCCTAGATATATAAATACTCGGTGAGCTTCTCAATAACCAGGAAGTCTGAAAAGCAAAGTATCTGTATGAATTAAGGATTGACACAAAGTCTTTTTTTTTTTAACAAGTGGGTACTTCATTTAAATCAGAAGTCATAGACTGGTGACCTGTTCTTTAACCTCTCAGTTCCACAGGGTGACCTGTTGGACTGGCATACATGATGCTAGCATCATTAGAATTATTTGCTAGCATTTACAAATTGTGAGTATTCACCCATACAAACTGTGGTTGATTAATACCTCCACATCCTCCCCCATCCCCACTGCCAAAGATGCAAGTCCTAATCCCTGAAACCTGGGAATATATTACCTGTTACTTCACCTGACAAAGAGACTACAGATCTGATTAAGGATCTTGAGATAAGAAGATTATACTGGATTGTCTAGGAAGTCCCCAGTGTAATCACAGCATTCTTATAAGAGGGAAGCTAGGGGTCAGAGAAGAGAGAAATGCTATCCTTCTGAGCTTGAAGACAGAGGAAGGGGGGCTGGAAATGATGGACCAACTGTTAAAAGCTGGGAAAGGCAAAGAAATAGATTGTCTTCTGAAGCTTTCAAAAGAAATGCAGCCCCGAAAACCAATTTTAGAACTGTAAAATAATACATTTGTGTTGTTTTAAGCTATAAACTTTGTTATAGCAGCAATAGAAAACTAACACACACATTTGCCTTTCTTCAAAAACAGTAAGATTTGACCACCTCAGGCCTGTGTCCTTATATAGAGAAAGATCATTGATGCTATTAACCCAGGTGGGTAGTCACTGATCTGAGTCCTTTCCCATCATGTTCACTTCATATAGCTACATAACCTGCTATCCCCTGAGGCGTCTGAGCATGGGACCTCAGCTTTACACAGTTCCATGGGAAGGCTTGAGCCATTGCCAAAAGTGGTAGGACACCAACATGCAGTGCAATCTCCTGGTTCCATTTGGTACCCAAGCATGAGCTGAATTTTGAGATGCTTTCTTCTCCCTACAATTTTAATGTTTCCATCTGGACAATGGGGATGTGTAGATGGTGGGAGAGGGGAGTGTGCTCTAAGGAGACTCTGCTAGGATTTGTCAATGATTGTCCTCTGTTCCTGTATAACGCAGAAAGCTGGGAAGACCCTCCTCAGGAAACATCCCTCCTCAACCACTTTCATCTCCCCTTGTGCCTACACAGAAAGGCTGGTTCCTCCTTGCTGGAGGGGCCCACGCTTGTCTTCCATTTCCACACCATTACCCCAGGAAATGCTTAGCTTCTCATCTCCAGTTCCAGTCGTTGTGACAGTTTCAGCCTCTCCCCTCAGCCCATGTCCTTAGCTTGAGCAGCGAGACGTGAAGACTGACAGCCGCTTGAGAACTGCACAGACTGTCCCCAATTTAAGCCATTTAAAATGCATTTCTGTTCCATAAAATCCGTTTCCATAATTCTGTGCCCCCACTTCTTTGAAAGATGGTAACCCTAGGGAGGAGAAGAAATTAACCAGGGAGGAGAAGTTCAGACGTGCTAATATTTTAATCACTCGTTCCTTTAACACATTAGTCACATTCATTAAGTATGATTAATTTGCCGGCTTTGTTGAAAATCATATCAGTTTCCCTATCAGCTGTACATCCATCTCTTGCCAAATAAGCTGCTGCAGTGGCACCAAAAACTTCCCCTTTTAATGCCCCTGGATTATATTATATGCCCCCTGAAAGAATGGTCGAGTTAATTGAACTCGTTTGTATAAAATACTTGCTAAAAGCCTGTATTCCAGAGTTAGGCTGCCTCCATTTAATCCCAACTCCTCCACTTGCTTGAGTCCCTTGGGCAAGTAACCCAAGCCCTCTGAGCCTCAGTTTCCTCACTTGAGGATTCATTCTTTTACTTGAAAGACTTTTGTCTTCACCATATGCCACGTTGTTTGCCCATTGCTTAGAGATGGAGCAGTTAAGTACAGTATGGCTAAATGTGTCTGGCCATGAGGACCTTGCATTCTAGGGCAGCAAAATAGATAACAAATAAGAATGTCATATGGTAATACAGTCTATGGAGAAAAGAAAGCAGGATGAGGGGAGGAGAGTACTGGGCTGGTGGGAGAGGGCATTATTACCCTAATGAACTCAGGGATCACCTACTTCAACCACATTTCCACTCTATAGGTAGATAAGTTTGTACCTCAGGAAAAGTATGCATGGATC